TAACAAAATACAGTTAGAATGAAATTACATATGAATATAATTTATATTAAATTTTGTTTCAATATTTTATTTATTATTGTAATTATACGTATATATATATATATACACACACACACACACACACACATATACACACATACATACACACACACACATATTACCGTATATACTCTAGTATAAGTCGACCCGAATATAAGTCGAGACCCCTAATTTTACCCCCAAAAAGTGGGAAAACTTTTTGACTCGAGTATAAGACTAGGGTGGGAAATGCAGCAGCTACTGGTAAATTTCTGAATAAAATTAGATCCCCAAAAAATTATATTAATTGAATATTTATTTACAGTGTGTGTATATAATGAATGCAGTGTGTGTGTCTGAGAGCAGTGTGTGTGTGTCTGAGAGCAGTGTGTGTATGAATTCAGTGTGTGTGATGCAGAGCCTTGGTGTGGGTTTGAGCATTTTTATTATTATTTTTAATTATTAATTTTTTTTTATTTTAATATTATTACATTTTTTATTTATATTTTTTTCGTACCCCCTCCCTGCTTGTTAGCTGGCCAGGGAGGGGGGTTCTCATTCCCTGGTTGTCTAGTGGTGCGCACTGTGTAGGAGGGGGGCTGGCAGCGAGCTGTAACTTACCTTTCCTGCAGCTCCTGTCAGCTCCCTTCTCCTCCACTGTAAGTCTCGCAGAGCGCTCCCCTCGGCTCTCGCAAGATTTACAGAGGAGCTGACCGGACCGGAGGAGAGAGAAGGGAGCTGACAGGAGCTGCAGGAAAGGTAAGTTACAGCTCTCTGCCAGTCCCCAACAGGACCGCCGGGCTCATTACAAGCCCGGCGGTCCTGGTCTGTATTATGGCAATGTAAGTTGCCATAATATAGACATTAACTCGAATATAAGTCGAGTGGGGGGTTTTCAGCACAAAAAATGTGCTTAAAAACTCGACTTATACAGTGTGTATGTATGTATATATATATATATATATATATATATATATGTATATGTAAAAATACTTGTAATTTATTTTATAACATGTTTAATATTTTATTTAAATTTTTTACACTTTCCACCAGCAGGGTGACTGTCTGATATTTCAGACAGCCCCCCTGCTGGCAGATCCACAGCAACGGCTTTAAAGCTGCAACGGCATAGAACGCCGTAATGGCGTTAAGGGGTTAATATAAAAATACACTTGTAATTAAATTACATACTAATATATATATATATATATATATATATATATATATATATATATATATATATATATATATATATATATATATATATATATATATATATATATACTCTCTCTCTCTCCCTATACATCATCTCTCTCTATATCTATATATCATCTCTCTCTCCCTCATAACTATATATTGTATATATTATAAAATACAAATAATAAGTAATTTAAATAAAAAATTTAAAAATATAAAAAAATATTTTAAAAAATTACTCTATGAAATTTTATTCTAACTGTATTTTGATAATATATATATATATATATATATATATATATATAAAAATAATACGAAATATACATATGTCCATATACAAAATTACATAAATAATTATATAAATATACACGTAGACTTCAAATATATAAATATGCATATATTTAAATTCTACGTGCGTATTTATGTAATATTTTTACATAATTCAGTAATTTTATTGATTGCAATTTGAAGGACCTGCCTGCTAACCCAGGCCGAAAGTCCAGAGAATTTAATTTGCTAGCACTGTATTTTACCCTGTAACGTTCTACGACACCCTAAAACCTGTACATAGGGGGTACTGTTTTACTTTCAGAACTTAAGCTGAACCTGGAAATATTAGTGATTCACAACAGTAAAACATATCCTGTGATGATATTGTCAATTAAGAAAGTTACTTTTGCATTTACACACAAACAGCACTTTTACTGATGATATAATTGTTGTGATACGTTTCCAGTTTTTAAACACTAATATTTGTGTTCGATGTCTCCAGGTAAAACGAAATTTACCCCCCATGTACAGGTTTTATAGCATTTTAGAAAGTTACAAGGTCTCATATATGGTCGAATATTTTTGGTAGAAAATGCGCCGGTTGGATTCACGTTGCCTTTGAGAGCGTATGGTAGCCCAGGAATGAGAATTACCCCATGATGGCATACCATTTGCAAAAGAAGACAACCCAAGGTATTGCAAATGGGGTATGTCCAGTCTTTTTTAGTAACCACTTGGTCACAAACACTGGCCAAAATTAGCGTTCAATTTAGTTTTTTTACTTTTTTCACACACAAATATGAATGCTTACTTTGGCCAGTGTTTTCGACTAAGTGGCTACTAAAAAGACTGGACATACCCCATATTGAATACCCTGGGTTGTCTACTTTAAAAAAAATATGTACATGTGGGGTGTTATTCAGAGATTTATGACAGATAATAGTGTTACAATGTCACTATTGATACATTTTTAAAATTTATGTTTTGAAACCGCAATATCCTACTTGTACCTATAGCCCTATAACATGCAAAAAAAAAGCAAAAAAGCACGTAAACACTAGGTATTTTTAAACTCAGGACAAAATTTTGAATCTATTTAGCAGTTTTTTCATTTGCTTTTGTAGATGAGTAAAAGATTTTTCAAGTAAAAGTCAAAAAACATTAATTTTTTTCAATTTTTCATCAGATTTTTCTATTTTTTTTAAATTAAAATACATGAGATTATATAAATAATGGTATGTAAAGAAAGCCCCTTTTTGTCCTGAAAAAAACAATATATAATTTGTATGGGAACAGTGAATGAGAAAGCGGAAAATTACAGCCAAACACAAACACCACAAAAGTGTAAAAATATTCCTGGTCGCAAATGTACAACATCGCAAAAACAGTCCAGTCCTTAAGGGGTTAATAAATAGTATGTGTTTGTGGGGAAGTTTCAATAACCAACCGTCTAAACTACTCCAAATTGGAACATGGACACAGCGTAAAACTTCAAAGTTAGAAAAACTGAATGGCTGCACTCAAATGGCCCCTTCCCAACATCCACATATACTGGCAAGGTATTACCGGGTATTACTCAGCCACATAGCTGAGCAACATATGAAGTATTATACAGTCATAGCACATAAGGTTTGCAAAATATGCTGCGCAAACTCACTTTGTATGTCAAAAAGGCAGAAAAAATGCTTATTACCACTACACTTGGTACAAGCTAGCGGAAAAATGATCCCACGCTAAGGTTCAAAATATGCCTTTTGAAATACCCTGGGATGTCTTCTTTAAGAAATGGTATGGCTTTATGGGGAATTTGGATTATATAGCCTGGTAAAATACTCTAAAATGGGACATAGGCACAGCATAAAAATTCAAAGTTTGAAAAAAACTGGAATGGCTGTGTCCCAAATGTGCCCCTCCGATGTCCACACATACCTGGCAAAGGTACATACGGGGGTATTGCTGTACTCAGCCGACATAGCTGAGCAACATATGAAGTATTATACAGTCGTAGCACACATAAGGTTTGCAAAATATACTGTGCAAACTCACTTTGTATGTCAAAAAGGCAGAAAAAACGCTTATTACCACTACATCTGGTACAAGCTAGCGGAAAAATGATCCCACGCTAAGGTTCAAACTATACCTTTTGAAACACCCTGGGGTGTCTACTTTAAGAAATGGTAGGCCTTTGTGGGGTAGTTTGAATTTAAAACCTGCGAAGATGCTTGGAAATTGCACATAGGCCCAGCGTCAAAATTCAAAGTTTGGTAAAAACGGATATGGCTTGGTCTCTTATATGGCACTGTAGCTTCACGAAATAGTGCCAAAGACATTCATATGGGGTGTCATTTTACTCAGAAGACTTAGCTGAGCATAATTTGGGGGGTTTGAACTTAGTGGCACATATGAAATATACAAAACGCCCAGCAAAAATGCAATCCGTATGTAAAAAATGCACAAAATTATTTTTTACCACATACTTTGGCATATATTGGTGAAAAAATGGGGGCATGTTAAGGCACAATATGCACCTTATAAGATACCCTGGAGTGTCTACTTTTACAAATGGTAGGCCTTTGTGGGGTTTTTTTGAACAGTCAAACTGTTATAATACCCCAAATGGAAGCTAAGGCTCATTAAATTCATCTCTCAAAATTCTACTGTGAATACTGAAAAGGACAGGTATCCTGTATGGCACTGTAACTTCACGAAATAGTGCAAAAGACATACAATGGGGGTGTCATTTTACTCAGCAGATGTAACTGAACACAAAATAAAACTTTGTACAGGAATAGCACACACCAACTTTACAAAATATACACGAGAATTTCTCTGTTATAAGTTTGTGTGCCAAAAACCAAAAAGAACACAATTTTACTCCAATATTTAGCAGAGGTTGGCGGTGAAATGGCTACGTAGAAAGTGTCAAAACCACCTTAGGTAAATAGCCCGTGATGTCTACTTTATATAAATATATACTTTTGTGTGGCAATTTTGTTTTCTTTTATGGCTATTAAGCTTACAAGACAAACATACCAAATTCTAAAATCGCTCCACATTAAAAGTTTATTTTACTCCTTGTGCTTTGTGACCTGTAACTACCAAAAAAAACTTAAAATCCCAGACACATTATATATTCTGTAAATCAGAACAAATAAATAAAATTTTTAATTACTTTCCTTAACCTGCACTAATTATGCACACATTATTATTGCAAAAACTGTAAAAAAAAAACAATATTTTCATTTTTTTTGCATTTTTCTGTATTTTTTTATAATAAGTAAGCATATATATATATATATATGTTATATCAAATTAAAGCCCTTTCTGTCCTTTAAAAAACAGTATATAATATGTGTCGGTGCAATAAATGAGAGAGATGCAAATTGCAGTTGAACGCAAACAGCAAGAAAATGCAAAAATTGCTTGTGTCATTAAGCGTAAGTCAAGCTTCTGAAGCTGTGTCCTTAAGGGGTTAAATGATTGTGAAAATACTTATAGTATAGTATATTTCTAATCTTGTATTCTTTATTTTGATTACCATCCTAGGTCCTGCTTGGTCAGTTGATGAAACAGCTGTGTCAAAACAGCATCCTAAACAAAGTGATCTTAGAAAAGCACTTCTAGGTGCCTGGTAACTGATTGCCATCATATTTTGGAATTTTATTTTCTTTCTTTGACAATTGGATTTAATTTGCAACATGAAGAGGCGCAAATGAAGTTTCAACCACATGAACATGCCATTTGCAGTTTTTTATTTTTATTTTTTTTTTCTTCTTGACCAAATATCGAATTCCAACTGTTATAGTGAACATGACATTTTCTTCTACTGCTTTGATTCTTAATTTATGGGATTATGATTCATTATACAGACAGCAGAGAGAATCAGTAGTGTAAAGCGGTACAAGTCATCAAACTAACTTTTGACAGGTGCCCCGCCCCCTTTTAATGAAACCACGCCCCTTGCGCAATATGACAGGCGCCCCGCCCCTTTTAATGAAACCACTCCTGTTGCGCAATAGGTCTCCGCCCCCTGTGTGGTGATGGTTGCCCAGCCCTTTCATGAAACCACGCCCCTTGTGTAATAGGGCCCCACCCATTGCGCGTTGATGGGTGTCCGCCCCTTTTTTTATGAAACCACACCCAATACGGCATGTAATAGATACGCCCCTTTACAATGTTCATAGAGTCTGCCACCATGTGATTGTATGAGGCACTACATTCTATGGTTGGATGTTTATTTATTTTTCATTTCATTTCATATTACTGAATAAAGAGGACAAGTCTGGACATGTTTTGGAAGATGTGTCTGGGGCCAGTTTTGAAAGTAGAGAACAAACCCAGAGGGCAAGTTTATATACATCTGAGAAATAAATAAATGCCAAAGTAACTCATATAACGATATTTATTAGACAAAAAAAAAAAAAGCCGATACACTATTCACAGGAAAAGCAACAATACAATAGTCACAGGCAAAAGGGGTAATACAATGTATGAAGGAAAAGCAATAATCATCACATGTTTTAGACAGAAATGCAATGAATAAACATCACAAATTCAACCAATCAGCAGGCTGCTTTAGTATACGGGGGCGCTTGTTAGGTAGCAAATAGCCGTGAGATGTAGTTAATCCCGGGGTGTTAAAAGAAATATTTGGTAACGATTGTCTCTTTTGAAAATGGGGTGTTATGTCCCGAGTCTCGCTTGGAAGGATCCGCAATTTCAATTGTTCCAAATATTCTCTATTTGATGTGTTGCCCACAACGGTAGACGGTACGTTCAGGTCAGCCATAGCCTGAAGAAAAGTATCCCAGCCCAGAGGTAATTTACGTACCGTAACATTGTGACTCTGGGTAACACTACGTACCAAATCGAGTATATTTGATCCCGGTACAACAGTGTTTTTATAAACAAATTCACCCTTATCATTCCAAGCGGTAATGTGCTTAAATTGAGACGTTCTACTCAACAATCAGTTTTGAAAGTAGAGAACAAACCCATAATAGCCCCAAAAAAATAATTTCATTTAGAGGATGGATATTACTGAATAAAGGGGAACAGTTCTGGACATGTTTTTTGGATGATGTGTCTGGGACCTGTTTTGAAAGTAGAAAACAAACCCAGAGGGCAAGTTTATATAAATCTGTGAAATAAATAAATACCAAATTAAGTCATATAGCAATGTTTATTAGACACGTATGGCAATGCAATTAGATCTAAAACCAATAGTGCTTAGATGAGCAATGACAGACAGATGGCATCTACAACCAAGACAGGATGACAGCCGTAACAAAATCAACAATTGAAATGTTTTCCTTAAACACAGGGTACAGTATGATTGTTGACAGCCAGCTGGCATTTACAGTCTAGGCTCTCAGGGTGACAGCTGTAACAAGATAAACAGGTGAATAGTATTCTTTAATCATGATGCCAAACAGCATTAATAAATCAGTATTAAAATCCATATATTACACACCAAGAGAAGCAGGTAGCTACGGTGATATTGATAAATTATATAACTCAATTAAAAAACATAACATAAAAAGAACAGTTGTTAAAGAATGGCTGACAGAACAGGACGCTTACACGTTACACAGGCCAGCAAGGCGACGATTTGAGCGCAATAAGATTTGCGTCTCTAATATTGACGAACAATGGCAAGCTGATCTTGTGTCAATGATTGACTTTGCTAAGCAAAATGATGGTATAAAATATATACTGACCGTCATAGATGTGCTGTCAAAATATGCCTGGGCTGTGGCTTTGAAGAATAAATCAGGAAAAACCGTTGCTGATGCTTTTCAGAATATATTTGCAACGGGTCGTGTACCTCAAAAGTTGCAAACGGACAAAGGCAAAGAATTCCTTAACAAGAGTGTAAAAGCAGTCTTTAAAAAATGTGAGATTATACACTTTATAACAAATAATATGGTGAAGGCCGCTATTGTGGAGCGTTTTAACAGAACATTAAAAACTAAAATGTGGCGCTATTTTACTGCGCGCAATACGTTCCGCTATGTGGATATTCTGGCTGATCTGATATATAGCTGCAACCACACAGTACACAGAACAATCCGGTGCGCTCCTGCAGCGGTGACGCATGAAAACACACTCAGTGTGGAAAAACATTTACGGGGAGTATTTCAATCGTAAAAGGATTAAACCAGCGCTGAAAATCGGAGACCAAGTCAGGATATCAAAGTATAAAGACATTTTCAGTAAAGGGTATGAGCAGACCTTCACTGATGAAATATTTGTAGTGGACTCAATAAATACCAGAGGTATAAAACCCCTCTTTACGTTAAAAGATTGTAACGACGAACTAATTGAGGGATCATTCTACGCTGAAGAAATACAGAAAATACCTCCAAATTACAAACGTGTTTACAGAATTGAAAAAGTTTTAAGACAGAAAATCGACAAAGGTAAAACATTGTACTACGTCAAATGGTTAGGTTACCCAGCGGCATTCAATAGCTGGATTGACAAAAAGCAGTTAACCGCCCTTTAAACAACAACACAACTATGGAGGACACAGCATTTTATGTAACGCTGCCTAGTAACGCTTCGCACGGAATATACCCTCAAAACGAAATATCCAATTATACGACAAAACTATCCAAGCCGATTATCTTCCGATTATCCTCCGATTATCTACAGAAATACAATATCCACACACATGGAATACTTTGCCTCTGATGGTTTAATATATGTAGGGTTACCAGGCGGACCTACGAAACGGCTTAGTGTAAAATCAGGATATTATAATGCTATTGAAGATCTGGTGTCGGGTATTAATGAACGGATTGAAAGTTACAAATTTCCTCCGATGGATATAAAGCTAGAATATGATTCGCTAGAGAGAAAGGTATCTATCAACGGTACGCATACGTTTATTGCCAGCGACAGATTGACGCACATTCTTGGTATTGATTATAATCACGAGAGGCCAAACGTCACAGGCAGAATGTGTGCGGATATAAAAGACAGCTTTTACACCTTATTCGTTTATACAGACATAATAGAACATCAGCGTGTAGGCGACAGTTTTGTACCGCTGTTACGTACAGTAGAAATTACCGGCAGTAACAACGAAATTATTACCCAGCGGTACATCAAACCTGACTACATACCAGTCAGTAAATACCATTTTGACAACATCACAATAGAGATAAAGAACGATCAGAACAGAAACGTTTCATTCAAATACGGGAAGGCTTTCATTAAGCTACACTTTCGACCCCGGCGTGGAAGCTTTTATTAAAGAAAAAATGGTTGTGGTTAAAACCTATGCAGAACCACATGTTTACAGCGCTTATTATAAGTCACAAGCAGGTCAGGGACTGACGGGATTTCATGGTAGTACATATATGTACGGTCGCGGTTTAGGGGGAATATTTAGAAGCTTATTCCGGAGAGCCGTGCCTTTGTTCAGACGTGGTTTAGAATTGGTGAAACCACATGTAAAAACAGCGGCTAGGAACATTGCAAAGGACGTTGTCGGTAGAGTTTCAACGGCAGCGATGAATAAAATAGTAGGAGAACCCCAGGACGGCACAGGTTTAGTATACATAGGTAGAAATACCCCTAAAAGGAAACGGAAACGACCGGGAGTATTTCCTGCATGTATGCCGTACACATACAACAAAAAGGTTTGTCCTCCTGCTAGAAAGAAGAGAAGAGTATCACGAAGGAACGCAAACAACATATTTTGAACAGCTGTCATGTCGTTTATCCATTCAGCATCCGTAGAATGCGCCAAATCAGAACTGGATCTTTTTGAAATAAAACCTACTCAGACCAGCATTGAAAAAAGTCTGTATGTGGAAGTACAACCGTTGGCAGCCATTTCGGAAACTTCACCGCTCGAGTTCTACATAGCAGGCAGCGGTGAACATTATTTCGATTTGAATAACACACTGTTGTACATTACGTGTAAAATTGTTAAAAACGACAATACGCCGATTGCAGAAGGTGCACGAGTGAGTCTAATCAATTACCCGATAGCGACACTATTTAATCAGCTAGATGTTACACTCGGGGACAGACTGATATCACAATCCAATAATCTCTACGCTTACCGAGCCTACATTGAAACACTTCTCAATTACAGCGCCGATGCTTTATCAACTCAGTTTACTGCCGGATTATTTTACAAGGATACTGCGGGAAAACATCAAGACCGCGTTTTGGACGGTGACAACAAAGGCTTTACAAAGCGTGCACATATGACAGCGCGCAGTAAGACTGTTGAATTACTTGGGCATCTACATAGCGATCTATTTTTTCAGGAGAAACTGATACTGAACGGTATGGATTTGAAAATAAAACTTACCAGAAATAAAGACACATTTTGTTTAATGTCCGCAGACCCCGAGCCATTTAAACTTCAAATTATAAATGCGTCTCTGTTTGTTAAAAGAGTCCAGATATCACCGGCCGTGCGAATAGGTCATGCGCAAGGACTTCTAACCGGCAACGCTAAATATGCCATAGAGCACGCTAGTATGAAAGTATTCAGCGTGCCCACCGGTAGTCGTGTTTGCAATCAGGAAAATATATTCTTGGGACAGATCCCTAAGATGGTCATTTTAGCGTTTGTCGACAATGAAGCTTTTTCAGGCGCTTACGACAGAAATCCCTTGTGTTTCAAACACCACAATGTAAATTTTGCGGCTCTCTATCTAGATGGTGAACAAATACCTGCAAAGCCGTTTCAGCCTGATTTTGAACATTCTAACGCAGTGCGTGAATATGTCATTTTTATTATTGGCACAGAAGAACTGCGGTGATTCTGGAATTATAATTAACAGAGTAGAATTTGTGGACGGATATACATTATTCGCTTTTGATCTATCGCCTGATCAGGAATGCAGTAGTCATTTTTCACTCATACGTAGCGGTAACTTAAGGGCGGAAATACGCTTTTCGAGGGCCCTGGAACGCACTGTAAATCTGATAGTCTATGGACTGTTTGAAAACGTTATTGAAATTAATCAAAGACGGGAGGTTCTTTATGATTTTCTCTAAAACCTAACCATGAACACCTTAGAAATAACGCATATTTTACGTACCGACCCATATTCCACAGGTATATTTGTTGGCGTGTTTCCGTGTGATTTACTACCCACCTCTAAACTGGACAGCGTACCAGCGGCATTCATTATCAATACAGATCCACATACATTATCCGGGGAGCACTGGTTGGCTGTTTATATTGATGATAAGAGACAGGGATATTTTTTTGATTCGTATGGACTAGCACC